CAGGTTTGCCAGCGACAATCACTCCCAAGTTTTGTGTGCTTGAAACAGTCTTTATTTTTTATACTGTCACTGGGAATAGGACTTTAGACCAACAACTGTTACTTTTCAGTCCAATCCCACTCTCACCCTGCTTCCACTCCTTCTGTCCAGAAGTCAGTTGTCAGGCTCATTAGTGCTCCTGGGAAAGAAAACATTTCCCCCTTCCTGTGGCTAAGATTTCCTCTTTGTCTTTGTTTTTTTGTTTGTTTTAAAGATTCCATTTATCTATTCATGAGAGACACAGAGAGAGAGAGAGAGGCAGAGACACGGGCAGAGGGAGAAGCAGGCTCCATGCAGGGAGCCTGATGCGGGACTCGATCCCAGGACCCCAGGATCACACCCTGGGCTGAAGGCAGACGGTCAACCGCTGAGCCACCCAGGCGTCCCTCTGTCTTTGGTTTCTAACGGTTTTCCCACTGTGTCCGTGCTGGTGCGCTCTTGCTTTCATTCATGCTGCTGGGGATTCACGGAGTTTCTCGAGTCTGTGCCTTTGTGACTTTCATCCATCAGGTGAAAATCTCAGCCACTTTCTTCTCAAATATCGTTTCTGTAGCATTCTTCGATCCCCCCTTCTGGGACTCCAGCCGCCCACACATTGGGGTTTCTTGCTGTCCCTCCCCATACAGATATGTTCCCTACTCTGGATTTCCCATCCCTTCATCTCTCCATGCTTCTTTCTGAATATCTTCTTCTGATTTATCCTCTAAGTCACTGAGTTTTCCCTTCAACTCTGTGCAACACGCTGGCATGCTCAGCCACAGGTCCTTTGTGTCGCTCGTTCTGTTTCTCCCTTCTGGACTTTCCATTTGATTCATCATTATTAATTAGCATTAGCTTCAAGTTCTCCTCCACAGCTCTGTCTTATCGTTATGTCCTCAAATGTAGCAAGCATAGCTGTCCTAATGCTTGATTGTGATAATGCTACTGTGAGTTTTCTCCCTACACGGCAAGCGTGCAATACACACTTGTTGGATGTTTTTAGTAAGGAGGATCTCAGACCGCATGGATGGCTCACTTGGTGGCTATCTCAGTTGAACCGCTGGAACATTTTCTTATCTTTAGGCAGGGAGGTTGCCGAGTTATCTAGAGTATACAAACTTCTACTCTTCTTTGTGAAAAATCTCTAAAGTGGAAATTTCTTGTCCTTGCCTGACCATCTGCAGAAAGAGAAATGGGCTCTGCTCCATTCTGCCCTAGGAGGAGCTGGTTACCAGGGCCAGCTGGTGTAGGGTATCTGAGGTCACTACGTCTTTCCAAGCCCCACTCCAGCTGCGTGGGGACATCAGAGAGAAAGGCATGGTCCTCAATTAGCTGTTCCTTGTGGAATGCTTCCCTTGGCACCTGAGTCAGCCTCCTGCATTTGCATGATCTCATCCACCAGTTGGTTCCAAAATGCTTGTTAAATAATGCTGTTGGAAGAACTAAGCCTGACAATCCCATCCCACCTCAATGAACCCTGGACCCTAAAAAAAAATAAAAAATAAAATAAAAACCTTGGACCCTGACCCCATCCTAAGCCAAGCCCAGAATAATGAGACTGGCTCTGAAGGTCTGGAGCTCCAGGACTTCCTAGGCCTCAACAGACAAGGGCAAGGCACTCGTGTGTGTGTGTGTGTGTGTGTGTGGTGTGCGCACGTGTGCACGTGAGTGTGCATGTGTGTTGTAACTACTGAGATATAATTTACACGACATACACTCTGCCCACATCAAGTGTGTGGGTCCATGGTTTTAGTATATTCACACAGTTGCATGATCACCCCTACCATCAATTTTAGAACATTTTCATCACTCCCCAAGGGAACCCCTGTCCCTGGTAGCACTCACTCCCTTCCCCCAAAACTCAGCGCCCGGAAACCTCTAATCTACTTGCTGTCTCTACGGATTTGCCAGTTCAGGACATTCCACATAAATGGAATCATATAATATGTGGTCTTTTGTGACTGGCTTCTTTCACTCAGCATCATGTGTTTGAGGTTGATCCGTGCTGTAGCAGCTGTCAGTACTTCTTGCTAGTCGAGTACTATTTCATTGTATGGATAGACCACATATTGTTCATTCATTTGCCACCTGATGGACATTTGGATTGTTTCCACTTTTGCTCATGAATAATGCTGCCAAGGACACTCATCTACACTGTTGTCATTTCTTTTGGGTGTACACCTAGAAGTGGAGTTGCTGGGTCACCTGTAACTATATATTTAATCTTTTGAGGAAGTGCAAGACTGTTTTCCATAGGGCTTGCATCATTTCACGTTCCTGCTAGCTGTGTCTGAGGGAGACATCCTCTCTCCATCCTCACCAACAGTTGTTTTGATGACAGCCATCCTGTTGGTTGTGAAGTTGTATCTCACTGTGGTTTTGACTTGCATTTCCCTGGTGGATAATGATGCTGGGCATCGTTTCATGTGTTTATTGGTCATTTGCAATCCTTCTTCTTCTTCTTCTTCTTCTTATTCTTATTCTTATTCTTATTCTTTTTTTTAATTTTTATTTATTTATGATAGTCACACAGCGAGAGATAGAGAGAGGCAGAGACACAGGCAGAAGGAGAAGCAGGCTCCATGCACCGGGAGCCTGACGTGGGATCCGATCCCGGGTCTCCAGGATCGAGCCCTGGGCCAAAGGCAGGCGCCAAACCGCTGCGCCACCCAGGGATCCCCTCTTATTCTTATTCTTATTTTCTTCTTCTTCCTTTGCAAATCTCCTTTGAGAAATGTTTATTAAGACCTCCTTCCTGGTTTTAATTTGTTGTTTTCAATTATTAAGTTGTAAGAATTCTTTGTATACTCTAGATATAAGTCCCTTATCAGATCTATGATTTACAAATATTTTCTCCCATTTCTCATGCTGTTCTTTCACTTTCTCAGTCATGTCCTTTGAAACCCAGAATTTTACATTCTGGTGGTGTCTCATTTATCTATTTTCCCTTGTGCTACTTGGGTTCTGGGGTCACATCTAGGAAACTACTACTTGATAAAAGTTCATGGTGATTCATAGCCACACTTTTTTCTAGGAATTTTGTAGTTTGAGCTCTGCGTTGAAGACTGATCTACTTCAAGATAATTTTTGTATATGGTATAAGGTAGGGATCTAACTCTACTCCTGCACCTGGAGGCATCTTGTGCCATTTATTATTTTCTTGTAACCTTGTTTTTGTTGTTGTTGTTGTTCACAATCTGGGCAAGAAGACCTCATTTTATTCCCATTACTATGGCCCAAAAAAAACCCAGTTTGCCATCATGCCATTTGCGTTCTCGCACATGTTCACACACACACACACACACACACACACACAAAACCCCACAGGAGAGTGCATGCCTCACCGCTCCCAGCCCTGGCGATGGAGACTCCTGAAAGTTGTAGCATAAACAGTTCTCTCCTTCGGCTGAGTCATCAGCTGTTTCTAAGCCCTTTTGCTAAGACACTAGTATTTGTTTTGCAACTGAGTTTATCAGGTCTTTTCCAGGACTGTTAGCCAATTCCTTACTAGCCAAGGTCAGGGCACAGGGGAAGGGGCCTATGCAAAGTAAACAGTTTGGGGAGGGAGCAGATGATGAGGTGACAGGTATGTGATTCTTCTGAGAAGGCGTCCATGTCAGACTGTAGCTAACACCCCCCCAAAAGGCAAGTACCCCCCTTATTGGTCATGATGCCCCCAGCACCTAGCGCATGAGCAACCACAAAGCAGGAGCTGGGTAAATATTTGAAGGGTGAAAAATGCAATCAGGAAAAGAGTAGAAAGACAGAAGTAGGGGAGGTGGGGAAGAGTTCAAAGAGCAAGACAGGGCATTGTGTGGGCTCTGGAGCAAGTGCCACCTCATCTCCCACGTTGGCTTGAAGGGCAACAGAACAGGCGCTACAGGCTGCGTGGGACTCTCCCCCAGGGTGGTAGGCACTTGGATGAAGCTGACCATTCTTTCCATGCATCTTTGGGAATCAGCCTGGGCCCCTTCTCCCAGCTGTGTAGAAGGCCCATCCGGAGGCAGGGCCTGCCCTTTGTCTTGCAGAGAGCAGAATTGCTCCGACTCCCTGCTCCTGCCTGGCCCCAGCCCAAGGCGGAGCGTGGGCTGATCCTAGAACCAGGCCAAAGAAGGACAACAGTTGTTGCCAGCTTGCTGGCACGAGAGGGAGCAAGGCAGCTTCTGTACTGCCTGCTGGCCGTCGGATGAGGGCCCTGGCCGCTAACCCAGTTGGCAAAGCGATGGCGTGAAGAGAAAGAAACATCTGCTCTTCTCTGCTTGAGCATAAAGGAAGCTGTTGGTGGGTGTAGTTAAGCCTGCAGGTCATTGTAGTTGGTTGAATTGTATTCCCCCAAAGGTACATCCAAGTTCTCAGCCCCAATACCCGGGACCGGGACCTTATTTGGAAACAAAGTCTTTGCAGATGTCATTAAGTTAAGAATCCTGAGAGGAGACCATCCTGGACTTAGGATGGGTCCTGACTCCAATGTCAGGTGTCTTAATAAGGGAAAGGAGAGGGAGGTCTGACAGCACAAGAAAGAAGGCCACATGAAGACGGAGTCTGGCCACAGGAAGCTGAAAGAAGCAGAGAAGGATCCTTCCCTACACACTCGGGAGGAAAAGTGGCCCTGTCGACACCTTGATTTAGTACTTCGGGACTCCAAAGCTGCGAGAGAATAAATGTGTGTTGTTTCAAGATCGGGCTTGTAGTGGTTTGTTATGGCAGCCCTGGGACACAGGCCCCCCTGCCCAAGCCCTGCCTCCTGCCCGCCGCTCAGACTCTGCTAAGCACAGGCGCCCAGCGAGACCCTGTCCAGCTGAGCCTGGGAAATGCATTCCCATGAGGAACAAGGCAGTTTAGGGCCCGGCCTGGGCCCACTGGGTACCTGAGTTCCAGGGTGCCAAGCAGCAGGCCCCCAGGCTTCTTCCGCAGGTAGGGTACAGGGATGGGAAGGGAAAGGAGGAAGATTTGATTCAATGAGCAAACGGAGGAGGCCGTGATGCTAAGACACATGGTTCCAAGTTTAATGTTTTCTGAAAGAGCATCGGGACAGCACAAAGCAGCAGGCGGGCGCCCTGCGCACCAGCACGCCCACGGAAACACCATTTTTCAAATCTGACCAGCAGAAGCCCTTCAGAGGGAAGGATGTACAGACCCCAGACCCGGGGACCAGGCCCAGGGAGAGTGGACGAATGGGTCAAGACCAAGGGTCACCAGGCAGTAGGAAGGAAGGTTCCTATAGGGGTTTAAGGGCCTGAGCAGGTAGGAGAGGTACCCAAGCCTTGGGCATTAGTGTAGAAAGGCAGAGAAGGGCCACCGGGCCAAAGCCAGCCACAGGCCAGAGCACCAATTCCAGGCAGCAGCCACTTTGGGCGCCATCTACACCCACCCCAGAGAGAGAGGGTTCTCACTCCAGTGATTGAGACATGCCTTCTCTCCTGGTCAGAGGGATGGTGCCCCACGGGGAGCCCCAGGTAGATGGGGGAGCCTTCCGGCCCCTTCCGGCTCTGCCCTACTCTGGGGCCTAGAGGAAGCCCTTCCGGTGTTGTCTTAGGCTGCTGGTCAAAGAGGCCTGGGGGAGAGCACGGGGGCTGCTGAGTGTTGAAGCCTCTGGGAAACAGGACTCTGTGATGGTGTGCAAGGAGATTTTGTAGAAAATATTATATAACCATGACCCTGCTACAAAACGAAGGCCTCAAGCCTTCTGTGGCTGACCCGTCTGGGAGGAGGAACAGCAAACCAATGCCAAGGTGACAGGTGTGAAGGCCCTGCCCAGGGCTCCTGGACAGTATGGGGGAGTCGAGCAGAGCCGTGCCAGGATGGATGGCTCTGCCTTGGTCAGGGTAAGCTCTGCTTCTCATAGAAACATTTGCAGACCCAGGGGCTCCTGAGGTCCCCAGCTGCTGTCAGGAGTCTATGGGTTCCAACAAGCAGGCTGAGGCTGCTTCTCTCAGCCCAGAGACCAGGGCTGAGGGCTTGGCTGCGTTGCTGAGAGCTGACATTCGCTACCTGAACCCGAACCCCCTCACTGTTGTGGCTCAGTGGAAAGACCAGCAGAACCCGTGGGCAAGGCCATGATATCTCCAGGATGTGGATGTCAGTCCAGCTGTTGCCCAAGAAGGCTCATACTTGGCCTAAGAGGGTCCCCACGCCCTCCATCCTTTCCTCATGGCCCACAGCGTCCACTTCAGGTCTTCTTGAACATGCAAGCTCATGTGAGAACAGCCTCCCAGGGGGAGCCACAGGGCTTACTTTGCTCCCTTCACATACTTTAGAATTTCCCTAATCATTTCCAGCCACGGGAGCAAGGATGGCTCTGGGTTGCCCTGCCATACGGTGGCACACCGGTGGGGTGGCCCAAGGATATGTGCACAGAGGGGAGCTGGAGGCCCCGTCATCTCAGGTGGCTGCCCGCCGAGCCCACCCAGGAGCCCATGTGGCCGGCAAGCGCAGCTGCTCTTGATTCCCCTTCCATGAAGGGCGTCGTGTTGAAGGCCGAAGCTGGGGCGGCAGGGCAAGGGGGCCAGGCTGGGGAGGGGCTGCAGCGAGACCGGCGTGGGGCTGCGGGGCCAGGCGGGCTAGGGCTCTGCAGCGTGCTTGACCAGGTAGCCGCTGAAGGTGATGTAGGTGTCGAACTCGTCACTGAAGATGGCATTCTCCCGCTCGCCCTTGAAGAGGCGCACCCAGACCTCGTCCTGGTCCTGCAGCTCGAGCATCAGGCTCTGGCTCTGCATGATGCTGCGGTCGCTCACCTGGGCATAGAGGATCACCACCTCCTCCCTGTTCTTCATGATGTGCAGGTAGGTCTCCTTCTGGTTCCAGGTGTGCACGTTGAGGCTGAAGAAGTAGATGCCCGGCACATAGCAGTAGAACTTGCCCATGAACATGTTGAAGTGGCCGTAGAGATTCACAAACTCCGTGTCGAAGATCACCGTCTGGTAGTAGTCGTTGCTGTGCAGAGGCTTCTTGCGGCCCACCGAGAAGGCAGCGTAGTGGTTCTTGCAGCGGTCCCCGGGGGCCCCCATGGACCCCTTCTGCCCCTTGGGGCCCACGTGGCCCCTGGCACCCACGGAGCCCGTCTTGCCGTATTTCCCTTGTAAGCCGCGGTCTCCCCGGTCACCTTTCTCACCTAAAGGAACAGGAAAACACGTGGGGTCGGGCAAGCTGACCCAACATCAAGGACTGTTCTATTTTCATCCAGAAGCAATCATTTTCTTCCCCCTCTGGAACGTCCTGGCAATGAGAAGGGAACATAGGGGTCTGTCCAAAAGCAACAGGCGCTGCGGCCAGGCCCAAGGCTGACTGGGAGCAAATGAACTGCAGATGCGGGGCTCGCCCGGGGGCTCCCGTCAGACCTCACAGGGCTGCGCGAGGTTGTCCGGCCCCCGGGGCCGAGGGCATTTCAGAGAGTGGGCTGGGGGCCGGGGGCAGAGGGCCGTCTCATCCACCCTAAGGACTTCTCCTTCTCCCCGCTCGGGACAGAGCGCCCCACACCCCGTCCCGACCCGGGGGGGAGGGTCCCCTTGGTGGCTTCGCAGCCGTCTGACCTTTCAGGATGGTGATGTTGATCTGTGGCACCGGGATGGCCTGGTACACGGGGGTGCCAGGGTCACAGCAGCGAAAGCACCGGGAAGCAGAGGCCTCCTCGCCCCGCCTGGGGCTGTATTTTTCATGGTTTTCTTCATCTCTAAGGGAATAAAGGCGTCACAGGGAAAGCCATGAGCTCTGGGAGCTGGGACCTCCTCTCTCTTCGGCCTCCAGAGGCTCTGGTCCACCTGCTTGCCTTCCCTCCGTCCTGGACGTGCCTGACCACGTGCGCTTTCCCTCGACAGAGACAGCGTTGGCTCTTGGCGAATTCTGGGACCCTAACTGAAGGTTCAGGAAGAGCTCCTCTGCCTTCGGGTCACAGCAATACTCGTCATGGAAACAACGATTACAGAAACAGCAATAATTTGAGGGCCAGGCGAGAGAGAGGCTGCTTGGAGAGGTGGGCCCCTCGGGGAGGGGTTCTAGAAGGTGTGTGACAGAGCTGTGAATCCCCATCAATGCAACTGTGATTCTAGAAGATAACGACATTAAGCTGACTCATTTGCAAATGAAAGGGCTCGGCTAGGTCTTCAGGTTCCTGGTTGCTGCGGCTGGAGACTCCACCGTCGTTACTACCCGCGGCTGCGGGCGGCCGGCGGCTCCGTGCTACCACCTGGCGGCGGCGCGCTGCGCTGCACGGGGCCCTTTCTGGCTCCCGCTCCCTCCAAGCTCTAGAGCTGTGACGTCGGAGACAATCACTCCATCTCAGCGGCTGGTTCCTTCTCTACCTCTGCTCCTGCTTTTGCACCCCAGACAATCCGGGAAATGGATGTACACACGCTAAATTCAGGCCCCGCGAGCACCGGCCTCCCAGGTGGACGCCCACCTCTCGCCGGAAGGTCTCTACCTAGGGTCAGCGAGCCCCTCGAAGGTGAGGTGTCCAAGTGTCGGCCCATCAGTCTGGCCCTGGAACCTTCTCTTTCCAAACCCTCTTCACGGCACCATCACAGGCTCATTCAAGAGGCCTCTCCAGCCTTGCCACCACATTCTGAGGATCACGGGGTCCTGAAGAGTCAGCCCCTCCCACCCCCAGCCACCACCAAGGTACCTGCAGAAGCTGGGCCCTCCGGCCTCCCCATCTCTGGGGGACCGTCACCATTCTGACTGCTCTCCTGGAATCTGCCTCTCTCCACATCTCCCATTCATCCTGTTCTCTGCCTCCTCCAGCGTTCTTTCTGGAATGTCATGACATTGAAACCTCTCCATGATGTCCCCCCCCCCATGATAATTCCTCATGACTCCCTGTACGATTAAGAGACCTTTCCCCACCAGAATCATCTCCCCTCCCTTTCCACCCTCTAGTGCCAACTCTACTACCCCAAACCCACCTGGCATGGCCACACCCTCCTTCTGCACTTGGGATGCTCCCCAGGCCCAAGTGTCCTTCAAGATGTGGCCAATCCTCTGCTCAGTCTCCCGCCCCCACCCCGCCCCTGCCACCCCCAGCATTGTGGACACACCTGTCCTGCAGAGCCTACCGCACAGCCTTGGAGTTCCTGGAGGCCAGGACTGTCATCCGTGCATGTCCCCCCATGCCTCGCACATGGCCAGACCAGTAGCAGGCACTTAGTTGTCACTGAATAGAAAGTGAGAGGAGGAGGAAGAGGAGGAGGAGGAAGAAGAGGAGGAGGAGGAAGAAGAGGAAGAGAAAGGGGAGGAGGAAAAGGAAGAGGCAGAGGAAGAAGAGGAGGAGGAGGAGGAAGAGGAGGAGAAAGGGGAGGAGGAAAAGGAAGAGGCAGAGGAAGAAGAGGAGGAGGAGGAGAAGGAGAAAAAGGAGGAAGAGGAGAAATGGGGGGAGGGGCAGGGGAAAAAGAAAGGGGAGGGGGAAGAAGGGGAGGGGGAGGAGGGGGTAGAGGAGAAAAAAGAAAAGGAGGAGGAACAGGAGGAGGAAGAGGAGGAGGAATAAGAGGAGGAAGAGGGGGAGGAGGAGGAGGGACAGGAGGAAGAAGAGGAGGAGGAGGGTGTGGAGGAGGAGGAGGGAGAGGAGGAAGAGGAGGAAGAGGAAGGAGAGGAGGAGGAGGGTGTGGAGGAGGAGGAGGGAGAGGAGGAGGAAGAGGGGGAGGGGGAGGAGGGAGAGGAGGAGGAGGGAAAGGAGGAGGAGGAAGAGGGAGAGGAGGAGAAGGAATAAGAGGAGGAGGAGGAATAGGAGAAGGAAGAGGGAGAGGAGGAGGAGGGAGAGGAGGAGGAGGAGGGGGAGGAGGAGGAGGAGGGGGAGGAGGAGGAGGAGGGGGAGGAGGAGGAGGAGGGGGAGGAGGAGGAGGAGGGGGAGGAGGAGGAGGAGGGGGAGGAGGAGGAGGAGGGGGAGGAGGAGGAGGAGGGGGAGGGAGAAGGAGAGGAGGAGATGATGGATGTCACCTTGTCCCACATCCAATGCATTTCCATCGTGAGGATCGCCTGAGGCCCTGGGTATCGAGTCAGCCTGAAACCCAAGCGACTGAGGCAATTGAGGGCGCCAGCCTATCGCCCAGGTACCCAGCACCTCACAGTTGGTGAATGACCGTTTCCTGAGCAATCCTAAGGACTTGGTGCTTCCCTTCAAAATATTCCAAGTAGCCTGAAGTCTCTATATCATAGCGAAGGTCACATCCACGAAGACGACGCCGTTCAGGAGAAATTCATGACTTCCCAAGAAAAGCCACCACTTCTCCGCGGCCCTCAGCAATCCTCTCCCATCAGCAACCTGATCAGATGCTCAGGGTCCCCGGACCCGGACCCGCTCACAGCCGCGTCCCTGCCTCCCACCTGGGGAAGCTCTCAGAGCCCCGGGGGATACTCTCGAGGACAAAGCTAGAATAGAAGGACAAACGGAGTGCTGGGGGGGGGGGCGGGGGGGAGTCTTTACCTGGGGATGTGGCTGCAAAACAGTACAGAAACCCAGTCCCTTTGGGGTTAGAGCAAGGTGGGTCACTGTCATCAGTTTCAGATAAGGCCCCCGGGGCCACTGAGAGGAGAAATGGCCGGTGTGTCCCCCAGGACCAGGTCCGCAAGGACCCTTCCCGGCCTCGGCTGAGGCCCCTTCGCATCCAGGCCCAGCTGCCTCGGACCCCGGGCTCAACCCACTGGGCCGCGCCTCCCCGTCTCTCACCGCTCCGTGTGGTCCAGCGGTGGCTCCTTGGTCCCCTCCTGCTCCCGCAGCTCCTGCGCGCCGCGTGGCGCCCGGCCCAGCCCCGCGCCGCAGGCAAAGGTCAGCAGCACGCAGCAGGCCAGCACGAGTGTCGGCGCCCCGGAGCCCATCCTCGCGCCGCGCCCTGCTGGGAGACACACGGAGGGCCGCGGGCTGAGCCGGCCGCCCCCGCGACCACCCGGCCCCCCGAGGGCCGCCGCGCGCCCTGCGCTCCCGTGCATCCTCCACACCCTCATCCACCGCACTCACGTACTCTCGCACGAACACACGCGCACTCGGGTACTTAGTACTCTCGCGCTTGCACACGTGCACGTGTATACTCAGTACTCATGCACGGTAGGTGCACACATACACTCCCACTCACCCACATGTGACACCCTGTTGCACATACTCTGCACTTACACATTTGCACCATCCTAACACATTCACTCATACACACTCATATGCCTCAGTACATAGTCACACACCCCATGTACATATTCTTACACACTCGACACATTCTCACTCTGCCACTCCCACATGCATTATGGGTATGCACACACAGCACACCTGCATCCACGTGCACACCCGCACGCGTGTGCACGCACATCACACACCCTCACATGCGCACACACTGCCCCTGGAGCCTCAGCAAGCTGGGCTGGCGCTGGCCCCGCCCAGCAAGCCTCTCAGGAAGGGGAACCCTCAGCCAGCGGGCTCTGCTAAGCACAAACCCAAGTGAACGTGTGGGGTCACTGTCCTGTGACTCTGCCCCAGCCCTGCACCGAGGAGGTGGGTGGGGAGGGAGGCAGACATCACGCATCTCACTTAGGGACGGGCCTCTGTTGCTCAAAAACCCAACCTCATGTCCTTCAGGGTGCTCTCAGGGGAAAAAGCCTCTCATCCAGTATTGAGAACAGTCCTTCTAGAAAGACATGTCGGTCCCCAGTGAGCCCATTAGGGGGCAGTGCTTGGGCTTCAAATAGGCAAAACATCCCATCCCTTCCCACTGCCAGGCGGCTGCCCGGCTAACCAGGGAGGGTTTTCCACAGTCTGGAGTCAGAAGTCCCGAGTGCCTCGCTGTTTCTGGCTGGCTGGGAAACCTGCCCCCTGCACGAATGGGTAACGGGCCAATCCCAACCCATCTTTGTTCACCAAACCACATAGTTCAACACCTAGAAGGCCCAGTGAGGACACACAGTTCAACCCTGTCAGCTGCCCAGTGAGAAACGGAAGCCTGGGAGAGTCAGAACCACCCACCCCTCGAAGCCAAGGTGCGAGTGGGATCCGGGTCGCTGCTGGGAGGCAAATCTCCAACGGTCTCATGTCTGATTTGCTTTTTATTCTTCATTTATGGGGATGCCTGGGTGGCTCAGTGGTTGAGCATTTGCCTTCAGCCCAGGGTGTGATCCTGGAGTCCTGGGATCAAGTCTCGCATCAGGCTCCCTGCATGGAGCCTACGTTTCCCTCTGCCTGTGTCTCTGCCTCTTTCTCTCTCTATGTCTCTCATCAATGAATAAATAAAATCTTTCTTTTTTAGATTTAAAAAAATTTTTTTTATTATTTATTCAGAGAGAGAGCGAGGCAGAGACACAGGCGGAGGGAGAAGCAGGCACCATGCAGAGCCCGATGTGGGACTCGATCCCGGGTCTCCAGGATCACGCCCTGGGCTGCAGGCGGCGCTAAACCGCTGAGCCACCTGGGCTGCCCTAAATAAAATCTTTTTTTAAAAAATTCCTCTTTTATGTTTAAGGAATATTAACTCCCAAGACAGACTTCTTTATGTCAGTAGTTATCTACGCAGATGAATCCTCCTGTCGTTGGCCATGGGAAGCCATGGACTTCCCTCTAATACCCCATTGCTCAGATGACTTGTAGCTGGTGGGACATGACCTTGTAGCTGGTAGGTCGACATCTGGGCTTTTTCTTTTGCATGTCGGTGGGCTCGCTGCCATAGCTCTGAAGAGAAGCTGCTCAGTTAGCCCTCCCTGCTGGAGCCCCCATGCCAAATCAAGAGAACATGGGGGAGGCAGAGAGCTAGCAACCAGAGCCCTGGGACAGAGAAAGTAGGAGCCAGAGGCTCCCTGTGGATGGATCCTCAGAGAGGCAATGAGCCTCTGAGCTAGGGGGGTTGCCTCCGCACCTCTGCTGTGTCTTCAGTTCTCCGCATGACTCCCCACCTCATCCACTGCAGTGGATCAGCGGGGCCTCCCCACCTCTGAGTTTTCTACCAAACAACCATCCCTCCCAAGCATCAAGGCCCAGAGACCTGCCCGGTGACCAAGAGACTACTTGGTCCCCACTCAAAATCTCTACTATATGTGTTTATGTGACTTAACAAAATACATATAAAATTATCTATCTAGGGCAGCCCTGGTGGCTCAGCGGTTTAGCACTGCCTTCAGCCCAGGACCTGATCCTGGAGACCCTGGATGGAGTCCCACGTCGGGCTCCCTGCATGGAGCCTGCTTCTCCCTCTGCCTATGTCTGCCTCTCCCTCTCTCTCTCTCTCTCTCTCATGAATAAATAAAATCTTTAAAAAAATAAAATAAAATAAATTATCTACCTATCCATCTATGTAGCCATCCATCTAGCCGTCCATCCACCGATCCACCCATCATTACTCCTTAGCAGGACATGCCTGACACCCCAGTCTGTCCTCACTCTTCGGCCCCATTGTACAGCTCCCCTCATCCTGTGCTCAAGCTCTCTGCTTTGCAAACTTTAATGTACACACATATCACCTGGGAAATCTGGTTAAAATGCAGATTCTGATTCAGCGGGTCTGGGACAGGGCCTCAAGTTCTGCTCCTTGTCCTCGGACCATACTTGGGATCCCAGCTTCCACTCCCCTAAACTCCTGGCATCTGTCCACCTGCACACATCCTTTCCCCCTGACCAGGAGTTCCTATTCTCCTCCTCTCTTCTATTAAAAACCAGCCTTGTAGGACCAACAGCTGCCCCAGGCACTATGCCGAGCATCCAGGCATCATCTCAATGGACCCTTCTAGCCCTGGAAGTCAGGGTCGGGTCTGAGAACAGTTCCTCATTAGTAATTCTTACCCACCGTGGGCCTCAGCAGGGCCTGCGGTGAGTCCTTCAAGGAGACAACACTCATTCATTATTATACCAAACTCGCAAATGAGGAAGGGCAGTGGATTTGACCTCAACGGGCTGTCCTCAGACCACATCAGCATCCTACCCGGTCCTCAGGACCCAACCCAAGCGCCTCCTCTTCCTTCCCAGACCCTCAGCTGGCCAAACCTCTCTGTCCTCTTTTCAGATTTTGTTTTTCCTGTTGTCTCGTTCTGCAGAGTTTTGCTTGGCCTGTAAGACTCTGCACAGCAGACCGTGACCTCCTGGTCTTGTTCATCTTGGACCGGCCGAGCATCCTGCAGCACCCTGAACTTGATCGCTACTCAACAAATGTTTGTGGAATGGGATTTTTAAAGTTGTTTATTTCCCCCTTTCTGTGTTTCCTCTGTTTTTTCCTTGGCACCTCAATAATGGCTGTTTTTTTCCCCTCCCTTTACATGCCAAGCTTGCATCACTTGAAAGGAAAAGACGTTTTCCTTTCTTTAAACATTTCTTTTTCTGAATCCAAAGTAATATATATTCATTTTGGAAAAGTCAGGAAATAACAACAAACACACATAAAAAGCTACCTCGGATTCTTTCGTCCCCAGGGTCTCTCAGCCTCAGCACTATTGACATTCAGGGCTGACTCACTGTTGTGGGAGGTTGTCCTGTGCATTACAGGATATTTATCAGCATCCCCAGACTCCACGCACTAGATTCTACTGACAACCACCCCCCACCCCGCCACCCCGAGTTGTGACAGCCAAAAAACGTCTCCAGGCTTTGCTGCTCGTATCCTGGGAAGGCAGAAGCACCCCCAGCTGAGGGTCGGTGCTCTATGCCCAATGGGAGCACCGTTTGGCATGTCTCTTCCAAGTCTGGAAAAAAGGATTCTCTGGACCTTGATCAGAAGACATGGGGATTGGGATGCAGCCACCTTCGGGGTGATGGTATCAGTGGGGATGGAGCCAGCAAGGAGTCGGAGGCACCAGGCTGACAAAGTGAAGGTCAACAGAGGCTGGTGCTTCTCCTCAAGAACCTCCTCTTTGGGGCCAAAGCAAACCCTGGGTGAAATCTTTCTTTCTTCAAAAATATCTTCAGAGCCCTTTTACCAAGTCCCACAGAAGAGTCAGCGTCATGACATTATGATCATTTTAGTCACTTTTGGGCAAAAACAGTTATTGCCCAACATCCAACCAAACTTGGCTCCAAATCACTTTTAGCCATTTCCAGTGAAATGAAGTCACCTAGAGAGGGCGCGGCTTCGCCCCCAGGAAGGTAACCCAGAGGACCAGGCTTGCACACAGCGAAGGCAGGGCCGGGACGTGGCCCCCAGGACTGGAGCCCTCACCCTCCGGCCCACGAGGTCCAGTTTGCAGGCTGCCTGCGGTCAAGGCATCTGAGGCCAATTGCAACGTGACTCAAGTTCCTGACTTGCCTTTCTCAAACGCTGTGAAGAAATTCATTTGCCAAGATCCATGAACACCTTTTTTCCCCTACTGTCTGCCCCAGGAGGCTGGTGGCTCTTTGGCGGCTCTCCCATCAGCCCTCCCATCCAGTTTAACCTTCCCCCAACAAGGAAGAAGCCCCTTTGCGGGAGTGGGGGTACCAGAGGGGGCGCTGAGCCACTTATGGGGTCTGAGAACACTCCCTCGTTAATAATTTTCATCCCTTCTCAGACCTTTTATGGACATGGGGTGAATCCTTCTAGGAGACACTGTTCAGACCCACACTGTAGTTTCCTGGGGTCTCAGATGGGTCTCACCTGCCTCCGTGTTGTCCTGCCTGTGTTCTGACAGGAACCCCCCCGAGCCCGGGCACCATGTGTTTGCATTTTGCCATGACGCCACACCCAGCCCAGTGCCATCTGACAAAAGCATTTATAACCAGGGTTTTCCCTCTTCCTTAATCCTCAGCGGGTGACCAGCTGTTCTGGGAGGCGAGAAGCCTAGGATCTCCCTGGATTAGGAGAAGCTTGGAAGACAAGCCCAACTGCCGCACAGCTCCACAATTCCTCTCGTTGGAGAAGCTCCAGGGGCCTGGCTGGCCCACGGGCTGCCCAGCCTTGTGTTGGAGCCCGGGAGGGAGTGATGATCCTACCGTAAACTAAATTCCTGCCCTGGCCTCAGGAAGAGGACGGTCCACGTAAAGGAGACAGATGTGCACCCGATCGTAGTAGCTCCGGATGCGGGATCAAGGCGGAAAGCGGGTACCGTTCTTGGTCCACGCGGGCTGGGGCGATGGCTGCGGGGCCACGTGTGGCTATTTCATTTTTTTTAAGATTTTTTTTTTAGATTTTATTTATTTATTTATTTATTTATTTATTTATTTATTTATTTATTTATTTATTATTTATGAGAGACACACAGAGAATTAGAGAGAGAGGCAGAGGGAGAAGCAGGCTCCCTGCAGGGAGCCCGATGCGGAACTCGATCCCAGGTCTCCAGGATCAGGCCCGGGGCTGAAGGCGGCGCTAAACCGCAGAGCCCCCGGGCTGTCCGGCTATTTCATTTTAAAATGGGATTCCTGGGTGGCTCAGCGGTTGAGCGCCTGCCTGGGGTCCCTGGGGTAATGGGATCGAGTCCCGCATCGGGCTCCCTGCACAGAGCCTGCTTCTCCCTCTGCCTGTGTCTCTGCCTCTCTCTTTCTCTGTGTCTCTCGTGAATAAATAAATAAAATCTTAAAAAAATAAGATAAAATAAACTAGAAACAAAATTAGAGAAAATTCACAACTCGGTTCCTCGGTCACGCGAGCCACATTCCGAGCCCTCGGGAGCTCCTGTCGCCGGTAGCTGGCACGCTGGACGGCGCAGGACAGAGCGTTCCTGTCCTGGCAGGAAGCGCGATCGCACCAGCCGGTGTCAGTGAGGCCGGAAGCGGGGCTAAGAACAAGCAGCTGGCCAGAAATCTGGGAGTCATTTGGGCTCCTTCCTCTCATGCATCCGCCACATCGGATCAGTCACCCACCCCCTTTAATATCTCCCGAAAGTCTCTCCCCCTCTCAACCATTTGCCTCTACGTGATGCTTTCCAGGAGCTCTGGCTGGGGCCCAGACCTCAATACACCCAACACAAATATCTTTGTCTGGGCTTTCCTGGGGCCTGGACATCACCCCAAAAATCTAACACGCGGCTCCTGAGGAAGCCTGGCCTAAGACAGGACTTTGTCCCACACCTGATGGCTTCTATGCCAAGAATGCAACTTAGCGTGGCGTGCGAGCACTCCTTGTTTCAAAGTGGCATCAGCCATGCCTGCAGCCCGGCCGCCCCCTCCGCACGTCTACTCCTGCCACCTCCTGCTCCCCGGCATCCTCCCAACCAGAAAGGAAGCCCTGAGGCTGCCCCTTCTCTGCTCTGACATCTGGTGACACTCCCCCACTGAGGAGCTCAGAGCTCTCCAGCTGCTGCAGGAAGTCTCCTCGATTTAGATCCTGGCGTGCCCGGGAAGGAGAAAGCACCATGTTGGGGTGTCCCTCTGGCCCTGATGACCGGCAGGCAGGGTGTTATAACAGGTGACAACTGCCTTCCTGCCCCAGAAGCTGTTCATCACGCTCATTTTCCTCTTACCAAACCCTTCTGGTGACGGGAAGGAGGGAAGCAGAGTGACGAATGACGTTTGCTCACCAATTCCAGGGGCCCATTTAATATCTAATTTCCCTTCCATAACAGGGCAGCCCAACTGGTCTCAGACCCTTCCTGCTCCTCCAACCCCCGAGCCCTGTAAAGGAGTCAGCAGTGGATGCATGAGGATCCCCTATTAAAGGAACTTTGAGGGCAGCCCTGGTGGCTCAGCGGTTTAAGTGCTGCCTTCAGTCCGAGGCATGATCCTGGAGACCCAGGATCGAGTCCCACATCGAGTTTCCTGCATGGAGCCTGCTTCTCCCTCTGCCTGTGTCTCCGCCTCTCTCTGTGTGTGTCTCATGAATAAATAAATAAAATATTTAAAATAAAAATTAAAAAAAAAGGAACTTCGATCAGTTGGGGTGAACCCGGGTGTCCTGCTACCCATGCCACTTGCTGAATCTCGCTTTTCCTTTCTCCCAAGAGCTGCTCTCCAGCTTAGAGAAAAAGGATTTATTTCTTAAGGTTTTGGGGTTTATTTGGTGACCTCTAAAGCGCATGGTCGGGGGAGAGTTGGAAGCTTCCGGGGCTACTTACAGGTTAATGAGCAAGGGCTCCCTTTTCCCTGCAGAGCAGAGCGGCCTAGCTCAGGACAAAACAGTATAGAAAAGAGAAGGTGAGAATTCCCCACCGCCACCACCCCCAACCTAAAACATCTCCATCTCTCCTGGGGCCACTGAGCCTTGGCAAGGACAGGCTCACCTGGCGCCGAGAGCGGGCACGGTCTTCCGCTCGGGCCCGAAAACAGCGAGGCCACGTGGGCTGCAGGCGTCGGGCCTCCGGGGGCACCTGGCCAGCCCAGCCTCCCCAGCTCCCAGCCGGTCCCAGAGCTAACAAAGGCCTCCTTGACTGGAGCACTGTCCTTAGATCACCTCCCAGCTGTAAGGCCTTGGGCTGCAGGCTCGCCCCTGCTCCGAGCAGAGCTGCCCGCTGCCCTGGTGCCCTGCTGCGAGCACGCTCCGCAGGTGGCTTGGCCCAGGACCCACTTCCCCACAGCGGGGACGCCCTCGGGGTCCCAAGACGGAGGGAGGAGAGAAGCTGGGAATCCCGGGGCCTGCGCCCCGCCACTCTCGCCCCTTTGCCAGCGATACTGTCTCTGGTTCTTCTGGGGCCTATGAATCCCCCCAACATCTCACAGACGCCTCCCCAGGAAGCGTGGCGGAGGACAGAATTCTGCCCCCACCGAATGGCTTCTAGGTCGCAAATATAATTTAGCTCAGCATGTGGTCGGTGCAGGGCCGGCCACCTCCTGTCGTCCTGGCTCCAGCTGCATCTGTCTCCGAGCATTTGTCCTCCACCGTCTCGCCCCCCTCAAGAAACAGGTGTCTCCGGGGCGATGGTCTCCGCGTTGGCTCCTCCCTCTCGAAATATACTTTTCTGTCACTTTCTACGCTGACAGCTCTCTGACCTTGGTCCCCGCGCCCTCCAGGACAGCGGCCACTAGCCCAGGGGGCCAGTTAAATTCGTTAGACTTAAGTGACACGAAGACTTCGGGTCTCAGCCGCACCAGGACACTTTAGGTGGCCACCCTCTCGGGCAGCACAGCTGGAGAACATTCCCATGACGGCGGAAAGTTCCACGGGACAGCTCGGGTTATCTGCCTTCTGAACACCTGCTCTCCGCTCTGCCATGGACCCTCGAGCCCCAGTTACCTCCGCTCCTGTCCCCCCACCATACCTACTTCTGAAGCATCAGCCGTCGCTCACGCGGGGGCCTCGGGGCTGGAAATCGGGGGGCCCTGCAGACCCTACCTGCCACCTCTCGTCCATCACGCAGCCTCCCGAAGGCCTCCAGTCTTCTGCCCCCCAGCCGGGCACCACCTCTTTCTCAGCCCCCCACCCACAGCTCGCTCTCGCTCTCTCTCTCCTGTGTCTTCCCACCTGCTTACCAGAGGCCCCTTGCAGAACTGCCAATCCCAATTCCACCCTAGGCTTAACAGGCTTCCCATGAAAATAAGGAAAATGTTTAAACCTGGAGCTTCACCACCTGGCTCCCGCCTCGCCTCTGGCCACCTCGCCGCCCGACTCCAGCCATCTGGAGCTGCTGGTGGCTCCGCTCGCAGGCCCAACACTAACCGCAGGCTCTCCTGTCTCTCCGTCCCTTCCCCCACCACCCTCCTGGTCCACAGGTTCTTCAGAGCCCAGCCCGAGGGCACGCCTCCAGGAAGGCACTCCCCCAGCATCCTGTAGGATCTGCCCCCTGGGGACCAGGGGCCCCTCCCAGGAAGCTGTGTCATCTCTCACGCGCATCCCCCATGTCTGATGTCTGATGTCCCACTTTGATTGAACTGCATCCACACTCACCTTTCAGCAGAGCCAATGCACAAACAGGGCTCCAGGATCCTGCACGTCTTGCGGGGGGCCTGGGGCCAGGGTGTTCAAATCTCTGTCTGGCTCAGGGCGGGGCTGTTTGGGGAGAGAGGAGGGAAAGGGGGAGAGTGATCCAGGGTGGGCTCCAGAGGGCCAGTGCAAGGCTGAGTCCCTGCGTGCCCATCCAGCCACGTTTCCCTCAGATGCTCCTCAGAAAATCTCCTGCCTCCTCAGGGCTACGACCCCCTGCCTCCTTCAGCCAAGGTTACAAGCCACCTAACCAGGAGATGCTTTGTGCTTCCTGGAGAGGCAAGAAAACAAACAAACAAACAAAAAAATAAATAAGCGGGGAGGGGCAGCTTCAGGCAGCCTTGCCAATTAGTGACCTCTGTAAACAGATGACTCTTTGCTGACGCCAAGAGATGTTCCTGATGAGTGAAGGTCAGGTTGAAAACACACACAGATCATGCACATCGCGCTCAGCCGCCGAGATCTGAAGGCCACCCACCTAGCTGCTAACAGCAATTATCTCTGGGTGATGAAAATAGGGATGTTGGCCATTTTCTTATTTTGGCTTCTCTGATTTTTTTTCCCCTCTCTAACAGTCACATATTTTCTTGCATTAAGTACACATTATTTTCCACTTAGAACAATGACAAGGGTGGGGGACTCAGAGAGCGTTTATTGTAGTTTGGGGGATTTGAGTCTATGCAAAGAGAAGGATGAGGCATGAGGGGTTTGGGGACGAGCAGGACCAGGACCACATGGAGAAGAAACCGACCTAGGGCTCAAGTCCTGGCTTCCTGCACCTGCATTTACTGTCTGCTGTGTACCCGGTGGAGAGCTGGGTGACAGGGACACGGTGCAGCAGCGAGGAGATGCAGCCTCTCCCCATCCCACTCCCCGCCCCAGGAGCGAACACCCTGGAGCTACAGTGGATGGATGCAGGTTAGGCCAGGGAGGGAGGGCCTGACCTGGACCACAGTCAGGCCTGGTGGACAGATCACATTTTCTAGGAGGGGGATTTGTTCTGTCTTTGCCAGACCTCTCCCTGGCGGTACTTGCTCTTGAGGCCCTGGAACTGAAGGAGATGAAGCCAAATCCTTGAGCCCATCCTTAAGAATTCTGTGCGAGGGCAGCCCGGGTGGCTCAGTGGTTTAGCGCCGCCTTCAGACCAGGGCGTGATCCTGGAGACCCAGGACTGAGTCCCATGTCGGGCTCCCTGCATGGAGCCTGCTTCTCTCTCTGCCTGTGTCTCTGACTCTCTCTCTCTCTCTCTCTCTATCTATCTCATGAATAAATAAATAAAAATCTTAAAAAAAAAAAAAAAAAAGAATTCTGTGTGATGGCCAGGCAGGTTAGCAGGCCCAGGAGCAGCCCCGGCACTTATCAGAGGTTCCTTCGAACAAAGCCCTGCTACCACTGACCAGGCAAGACCCACCATGTGCCGGGCTCTGGGCACCGTGCTCTCCGGATGCCGTTGAGCTTGACCCCTTACAACGCACCTCGACTTCTCAGATGAGCGAATGGGCTCAGAGTGAAGGAGCCACTCACCCCAGGCCCCACAGGAGGGAGGTGGGTCTGGCAGCAAAGTGCCTTCCACCCCACCTCAGGGGGCCTCCAGATGCCAGGGAGGCAGGCTCATCCTGCCAAACCACAGTCCAGCGGGCGCTCCCGTCTTTCCGGGCATCCACCTGCGGAGCTCACTCAGCTAGAGCTGGAACGGCAGCAGTGGTGTTTGACCCTGAGGAATTTATCCACCAGCCCAGCCTTGCCATTCATCCATTCAGCAGATTAAGGAGCACCTACTCAGTGTCAGGCAGGGTACGGGTCCGTGACAACCTCGTCCCTGAAGCAACGTGCTAAGATCTCCCTGTTGCCAGGCTTCCATCTTAAAACCCGTTACTGAGTTCAATTCCTTTGGATTTAAGCACAGAATCACGAGGAACCCCCACCCCTTCACCACTACCACCACTACCACCACCCCATTCTTCAAGATGGAAGAGATGTGGGAGGTGTGGCCCATTGAATGTGCATTTTTAGGGGCTGGCGTTTGCCAGGTAGAGAGAAACAGCCCATTGGCGAGCTCTGAAAAGAAGGAGTGAGAAGACCATGTCGTGCAGGGAGGGCACATGGTCCCACCCGGCCCCCAGGGCTCTCTGATGGAGACAAGCCAGCTAGAACACTGGGCTGAAATGGGACCTGAGGCCAAGTGCTGCTAGCAGGAACCAATGGTGTAAAGAATTGACCTTGTGATGCGGAACAGCATGGTGGCCCCGCTTCTGTCCATCCTGGGGGTGCTGCCTGGGGATCAGCCTCGGGTAGGGCCCCTAGTGGAGGCTCCTGCAGAGACAGAGCTGGAAGCAGGAGAACACAGGAGCAGAGAACGGAAACAGAAAGGGGAAGGTGGACACTGGGCTCCAGCTCACCTCCCTAGCTGCCGGGGTCTAGCTCTTCTCACTCTGTGGGGACCATTCTCAGGGGCTCCTCCTACGGCCACTTTACAGGGCCACGGGTTTTGCTCTCGTAGCTATCCCTTTGTGGGAAGGAGGGTGTCCTGAATGCCAGACGACCTGAGAGCCCCAGGGCCACCCCCAGACCCACCCACCCCTCACCAGAACCCACTTTCAGACTCCTCACAAGGAGAAAGGGCCCATGTGTTTCCGAGCACACCCTATTCCCCACCTCTACAGACCAGCCCCCAAAACCTGCAGGGCGAAGTTGCCGGGTCCAGCCCAACTCCTGGTCCGCACACGCCTGCAAACCCACCAGGGCTGGCAGCTTTCCCAGGCGAGGTCCCTTCCTTCCCTGGTCCCCCGGGTAGAGGGCGACTGGTCACCAGATGTCCCCGCTTGGGGTGGCGGCGCAAAGGGTTTGGGGCATTCCCCAAGCATGGCTTTGCCAGTGGCCAGCAGCAGCGTTCCACGGAGCGCAGGTACCCCCAGCTCCCCCACTGCCTGCCCCGCCTGTCGCCCTCTTTTCCTGTCCTCTCCTCCCGCCCTCTCCTCCCACCCAGCCTCCTACCCGCAGGCTCCAGCTCCGCTAACTCCTGTTTCAAGGAAAATCCGTACGGGAGCCAGGGAGATGGTCAGACACCGAGGCCCAGGCTGGCCCACAGCCGTCCTGACAGCCATCCTGGACAGGGCGGGACGCCCCAGGACGACGCTGCCAGGCCCGTCCACAGCTGGAGAAGGGCTGACTCCAGGGGCCTGCCGGGCAGGCCACACCCAGCCCCCCTTGAGCCCAGTCCTGGAAAGAGGCGTGGGCAAGATTGAGTGGCTGGAAAAGGATGCCGGGAGCCCTTGTCTCCTGCTCACAGGACGGCTCCCCTGCAACCTCGACAAGAACCCAGAGGTAAAGATGCTCCCCATTCCCCCCAGAGGCTCAAGAGCTCCTGCCACGGCCCACCCCGAGTCCCTCCCCGGGAGGCAGGAGGAGGACGGGCAGGGGACGCAGGCCGCCACAGCACAAGTGCCACTGGCCGGCCCGCAGAGGAGGAAGGGAGCCGGCGTGCCCGCCTCCGCACAACTGTGGTCGAGGGCAGAACCGACGCCGCCAGGCCGAGGACCCAGCCTCAGATTCCCCTGGCAGGGGCCCTGAGAATCCCAAGGCCCGGCTCGCTGGGCCGCCCCACAGAGTGGGCGGGAGCGCCTGGGCTTTGATGATTCTGCTCCAAATGGCTCTCCCAGGGGGCAGCCGGCTCCTCGGCTCCTTGGCTCCTCGCTCGGCTCCTCGCATGGAGCCCGGAGTAGTCAGGGAGAGACCCACGGTCCTGTCCAGGGGACGCCTTGGCTCACCCGACGTTCAGAGAAGGCAGATTTCAGCAGGTAAAAACAGGAAAAAAAAAATTAATAACCCTAGGCCCACGCAGTAGTTACGCCACCAAGAACGAAGCGCCCTGGGGGACCATCACCTCCACCTAAATATCTGTGAGCTCTCGGGCAGGGAAGCGAGGTGCTTCTGAAACACCCACTTTCCTCCCCAGTGGCTCAGCAGAGTTGCCTCAGGCACCAGAGGACCTTTCTAGTCTTCTTTTCCTTTGTGAGCTGTCACCACCACCCTTGCCCCAGGGCCTTGGAGCCTGGCACCACCCCCCTACCCCCTTGCCTTCCACCCGCCCCCCTGCTCCAGTACGGGGGTCCCACACACCGGGCCAGCCCCCTGAAGACAAAGCCCCCAACAGCAAGCTTATGTCCGGTGAGGACGCCCAGCAGCGCGACTGTATCTACAAAATTCTTTTCATCTTTGTTTTGATGGGTGAAGTTCAGTGCCAGAATATTTGGTTTATGAGTCATGCTAATTACAGCTGGGGGGGCGGGAGGAGGGCCAGAGGCACCAGTAACAACAACAGAAAGAAGCACGTTCTGAAAAAAAAAAAAAAAAAATTGTGCTGTGCTGGTTGCCCTGAATAAGGAGGTTTAACATCCCCGGCTGTTAAAGGAGTGAAGAGGGAGCCGTTTGTGCACCTTTCTGGGACCACGTCTGCTCCTCAGCACGCACCTGGGAGGGCGCCCCTCTCTGGCTGGCTGCACCTGTCCTAGGTGGGCTGTCCCACCCGAGACCTCCTGCATCTCTCCCTGACCTGTTGCTCACTGGGAGCACTTTCCTTGGCTCAAGACAGGAGAGGGAGGAGAGGGTGGGGTGTCTGGGAAACAGAACCTGGCCGTCCTTCCTGCCCCTGGGCACTTTCTCCGAGGACAGCTGGGAGGTGGATATTTGCAAACTTGAGAAGCTCCAGTCCCAGCCTCAGCTTGGACAGCTCTGCACCCTTGAGCAAGTTACACCCCTTCTCTGGATACAGAGATGCGGGTCCTCCGAGGGGTCCTCCGTCTACTGCGCGTGGGCAAGTCATGAGCCTCTCTGAGCTCTTCAGGGGTGAGACTGCCATCAACGAGAATCCACATCTGCTCAGCACGTGCCATGCGGGACACGCACACGTGCATATGCGGGCGCACATGGCTGCCGCTTACCCTAAGTAACTCTGAGCTCTCAGGTCAAGACGGAGAGTGGGCGAGGCAGGTGGGACGGGATAACTCAAGCCTCGGCCCCCATCTCCCCTTCCCCTGTACTTCTTCCCTCCTCTGGTTGGTGGGGACATTGGGCAGGACCCTCCCTGCAGCAAACACAGCAGCCAAGTGCATCTGTTTGTGACCTTGCACGTGGAGCTGACTGCGTGCTTTCCTGCACTATTAAAAGCAAAGGTCTAGCAGCCTTGGAAGACCTCACATCCTCCCCCCTGGGGACCCAGGATGTGGCTAGCAGTTGAGAAAAGCTCAGTTTCTCAGGACACTCCTCATTTTGAAACCGTGGAAAGAGGCAGCTCCATGTGCCGAACTGCTTCCATTCCTGGAAACTCAGAGAGATGGAAGAGACAGACGAGTCACGAAGGGAGGTAGTTTCCTTCCTCCTTTCCAAGTGGATCAGGAGGACCCACAGAGGACACGGGACTACCCAGGGATCTGCACGCTGGGAACCAGGCGAACACAATGTGGGTGCCCAGGGCACGTGGGGAAATCACACCTGTGCCGGGGGAATGCCTAGAAGACGACGTGGCACGTGGTGTCTCGACACAGAGAGGCGTTTGAGGTCCAGGGGCTTAAGGGCAGCTGGGTGACCGCGGCCCCAGGCCGGAGACGGTTCTCAGCGATGCAGGCAGCTCGGGAGGGTCCCCAGGGGAAGGGACATTATTTTCCCCTGTCTGGGCTGAATCCAGGAACACCAAGGCCATTAGATGTGGGGGCCAAAGTCCACATTTCCTGTTCTGTGTGGGGGTCCACACTGGCCTCAAGCAGGGCGAACCTGGCTCTCAGGTGATGCAGGCACTATTGGGGCGGGGGCCCCCACTTGGTACACAGGGGACTTGGGTACCATTCCCTTTTCTCTCACGCGTAGAGAAGTGTGCAGCAAGGTAAACAGCCCACAACGGAGACAGGAGGCACCGACATTCCTATTCCTGACAGCGCCCGGCTGCCCCTGCCCCCCACCCCCGTCCCAGCGGGAGACGGAGACCGGTGGCTCCCCACCGCACCTCCCGGCTGCCCGCCGGCCGCAACTCCCCATCTTTCTGTCCCTTGTCACAACCGCCACCCGGCCCCTCCCACTGGGCTGGAGCCGCGGAGCAGGAGCGAGCGCCCGCCCGCCCCGCCCGCCACGGCCACCACCTACCTCCACGGCGTCCTGCGGGGCCTCTCTGTCCCGGGCTCAGAGCATCTCCCGGCGGGGCCTCCTCCCAGCCAGGTCGGGGAAGAACAGCCTTGTCGGGGGAGAGCGGGGGGGGGGGGGGGGGGGCGGGGGGGAGGTCCTCCGGGAAGAAGGTGCAGCAAGGGGCGCGGGCGCCAGCCTCGGGTCCCTGCCTTCCCGGCACCTTGACCTCCTCCGATCCGAGGGCCCTCTGGCCAGAAGCGGAAGCGCGGTTTCTCGAAAGTCAAGGAAGAGACGAAGAAAGCGGGACGGGCTCGTAAAGAGCAAACCCCAGCCAGATGTGAGCGGGGCCGCGGAGCCTCCAACGCTCCCAGCGCATATTATCCAAACAGCAGGCGCCGAGGATTAACTGTGTGTGTGCCCGCGGGCAGGGGAAAGCCAGGCCTGCCCTCCTCCCGGCCACCCCGGGGAGGCGGCCCAGGCTGGGGGCGCGGGCGACCACTCCCAGTCCCTGGAGGCCCCTCCAGGTGTGCAGGCGGCTGGGGGCCCAGGACAAAGAGGGCCCGGAGCCCCGAGTCGCTGGGTGGTAAGGGATGTGTGCCAAGGAACCCGGGGGGGGGGGCACTTCTTGCCAATCCTTTGGGATCTAGTCCCCAAACAGTGGCAGACCCGAGACACACTTTCAATCAGAGGCTCCCACCTGGGGTCTGCGAGCCACACACAGGTTTTGGAGAACCTGTGACCCGCCCCCCCCCAAACAATGCAAAGTTGTGTGTGCGTGCACATGTGCACACGTGTGCATGGTTGGACAGGGACGGTTTATTGCTTCAATCGGATTCTTAGAGAGCTCTGTGATCCAGAGGTTAGGAACCCCTGGCTGGCAGAACAGATTTTCCAGAGGGCAGTGTGGCCAGGGTGGGGCCGTGAGGGACGTCAGCATTGCTCCGTCTCTATCAGCCTCTGGTTCCTTGATGTGAAAAACAAGCCTTCCCCCATCTTATTTGAGAGAGAGAGAGAGAGAGAGAGAGAGAGAGAGAGAAACAAGCTCCCCACCCAGGAGGGAGTCCAATGCTTCGGGGCTTGATCCCAGGACCTCGAGATCATGACCTGAGCTGAAGGCAGATGCTTAACTGACTGAGCCACCCAGGCGCCTCCTTCCCCCCAACTTAGACAGGAGCTCTAAACAGGCTCCTCTAGCCCCACCTCGCATCCTGACAGCTGCTTGAGGCTCCTTGTGAGCTGCCCCCAGTCAGACTGGTCTCTGTCCCCAGACGGAGTCAGAACGGATAGTTCTGGAATCTTATCATATCGCAAGAAGAAGCATCTGGCCAGAGTAATGAAGCTCTGCTGTGGTGATAACAGTTTTCTTGCTCGCTCGCTTCTCTCTAAACCGCGTTCCCACGTTCTCCTTGAGCTACTTGGATGTCACACCTGCAACTTGTTGTCAGTCAACGCTCCTCTCAAGGGCCTCTCTCTCTGGCCACGTGTGGACAGGAGATGTAGAAACAGGGGTGCTGGTTCGGGATGCTCCTGGCAAAGCACAGAGACTGCAACCCTCCTCTCTCTGGCCTTGGAAATTCCTTCCTGCCTCTGCTCCCTACCTGTCTGCCCGAAGGGCTGGAAATCATGAGGAAAGTAGAGTGTGCAAGCCCGACACCTGCCAGGCACACCTTCTCCGTGCCATGCGGAGATGGAAGACAGGGAAGGTTCTGGGTGGCAAAGCCAGGAGGGCCCAGCGGCCGCTCCACAGAGACCCCAACAGCCCACCCGCTCCTGTAGGAACAAAGGGAGGGGTGCCCTGATCTTCTCCAGTGGCCCTGGACAGCTTCACAGACACTACGGCAAGATCCAGTATACAGGTCTCCATCGGAGATAGGGTTTCGGCTGGCGTTAGAACACTTAGGAATCGTTCATGATCTTTGGCATGTGTCTGAGGTTTGGCAAAACTCACATCCCTGGTTGCTTATCGACACAGGAAACCCAGAGATAAGCGCGTCTTCGTTCCTGTACGCAACACGAGGAGCTTTCCTGGCCACCAGGGCCCAGGCCTGGCGCACTGACCGACCTTCCCCTTGGTGCCTCTGTCCCCAGCTGGCCTTCGAGGCAGGGATGTTGGGGGGAAACACAACAAGAAAAGCAGGAAAGGCAAGTAAGCCATGTCTCCATGCAGCCCCTATAGGCCTTCGTCTGGGACATTAGACCAGCCGGGTCTTTCTCAGAACTCCAGTGAACCAGGAATATTTTGTATGCAATGGGAAAGCTGTTTCTTTTTTTTTTTTTAATTTTTTAAATTCATTCATTTGAGATATAGAGAGAGCACAGGCAGACGGAGGGGCAAGCAGAGGGAGATGGAGAATTAACTCCACGCTGAGCAGGGAGCCCGATGCAGGACTTGATCCCAGGAAAAGGCAGACACTTAACTGACTGAGCCACCCAGGTGCCCCTGCAAGACACTTATCTGAAAGATAACTCCAAGACGGGAATCCAGAGGCCCAACAGAGAGCAGAGCTGCAGAAATACAGCAGTAGCTGCTGGTTCTAACCAGAGGCCTTAAATACTGAGTCTGGGAGGCTGCCCAACCTCAGGGGGCCTTTGTTTCCTTATCTATTAAGCAGAAATAGGTCTGGGGTCTCTTATCAGGAACCCATGCAGTCGGATGTGTTCAGAGTAAGATGCAGATGTCATTCAGAGCATCTCTCCCTGCCGGGCTCTGGGGCAGGACCCCAGCACCCGACGCTTGCACAGCCTCACGACACTGCAGGTCACTCTGTTCTGTCAAAGTCTGTCACACCAAACTCGGGGAAACCACGCTGTCAGGGCTTTTTGTATTTTGGGGGACTTGGGGTAAAGGATTGCGGCTCCGTAATTGTCATAGTAGGGCCGATGAAAGGCCCTGATGGAGCAGATATAAAGCATAAGAATGTTCGTGATAACTGTCATTATGGGTAAGTATAATCTTCCTCTTGGAAGAGAGGCCTCCTCTTGGGTCCAGACCCCACATCTCCCAGGAGGCTAGAGAAGGGATTATTCATATCTCTCAAGCCAGAAACCAGGAGGGTGAGGGGCACTGATATGAAATGTGGCAACAAGGACCTGGAATTTCCCAAGATACCCATGTGAAACAGAAGTCTCACAGTCATGGAAAGTTCTAGAGAAGGGGAACTACAGTCTGAGCCACATCTCAGGCACCACTGCCTATGGCTCAAGCCAACAGGCAAAAATGCGCAAAGATTCACAAGGCCAGTTCAGCCCTCCATGAAAGAAACAAAACCTGCCACCCGAACACAGAGCTAGCTGGGTCCCTAAAGCTCTTTGTTACCCACGCGGTCACTGCGTCACAACTGCAGGAAGGAAAGCGCACTGGGCAAGCCGGGGATGGTCTTGCAGACCGCCTGCCTAATCATTAGTCCTCCGTCAAGGCCGTGGTGCCCTCAGGCCACCAGGGCGGAATGCTCCCAATTCAGCAAATATCTTCCTGTTGGTTGGAAAGTCCTGCCCAGTATTAAGGACAAGAGTCATGGCAAAAAAAGAAAAAAAAGGAAAAAAAAAAAAACCCAAAAAACAAAAAAAGACCCAACAGCAACAACATGAACAAATCAGAACCCAAAGCCAGCAGCAGTGCCTGAGGGAGGTTTCATCAGCCCCGTGATGGGTCAGAGGCCAGGGCCAACCAGAAGGATGAGGCCCCCCCACCCCAAGGTCTCTCTCATCGGTTCCCAAGTGTGTTGTAGGTCACGCCCATCCTGAAATTCCCTAGGAGCTCACACTTCCCACACAAGGATGTCTGGGCCAAACATGGGCTTCCCGAAGCTTCCCAAGTGGCCCCACATTCTCAGACAAGGGCAGCTCATGGGACGTGAAGCCCAGAGACTCACGGGGGAACAGAACATTCCCAAGAGGCAGCACATTCTAGGTCTTTCCCTCTTTGGCAATCCCTTCTCTCTCTGTCTCTCTCTCTCTCTCTGGGCACATCACCGCTGCTCACTGTGTCTGTTTTCTCATCCCTGGAAAAAACTATGTGACCTCGGTTAACGTCTGCGAGACACTCGGTTCCAGATAAGCACAGTCTGTCATTAGCAGCACTGTGATTTTTTTTTCCCCACAGTGGCCCCAACATTCTGCCTCTCCCAGCTATTTTGGGCCAGGCTGCCCGGCCATCCCACAAGGGCAGAGAACAGTACTGCAAACTTCTGAATTCTGCTCGCAAGGGGAGCGACAGGCAGGCTCAGATGGTGGCGTCCCACTGCCAAAGGGCGGGGGTGAGGGAGTCTCTGTGGACATTTGGAAGAGATGGAAACTTGGCGGCCAGACTCAGCCTCCCTGGCCGCTGGCCCACGCTCCCTGCTCCTGGATGGCAGTGCCTGCCTTCTGGAAGGCTGGGGGCAGGTGGCGATCAGGAGTGGCCGCTGCAAGGACAGAACAGGCTCCTGTGCTGCTTCAGGGGCCCTCACACCTGGAGAGGACTTCTGTCTAGGGAGGACACGCCTTTCTCTGGAAGCCCCCCCACCTCGACTCGAGACGCAGAGACGCGCGGTCCGGGACAAGAAAGCACACTTGCCGTCTGCCTTTTGCCATCTGTGTGCTTTCTGACTCTACTCAGGCAGTGACTGTCCCGCGCCTCAGTTTCTCCATCTCTCAGTGTTTACTCCGGGAATCCCTTTGCAGCACCTTCAGAGATAAGGCCTAGCTCTCACCATCAGGCCGCGTTTGACTTGATAAATAAAAGGAGAGGGCCCCCTGGTGGACTGCTCCATTCTAAGCCTTAACTACGAAATGAGGGAGCGAGGATGTGATAACACAGGGTGGATGATTAACGTGACGGATTTTTGGTCTCTTACGTAGAGCCACAGAAACAGAAGGAGGAGAAAAGTCCCCAAAGATGGCTATGGTGAAGTCTCCAAAGATGCAAAGGAAGTAAGGAGAATGAAGCTCACAGGTGTGCACGAAGAGAGGTTTCAGGGCCCGGCTTCTCCAGGAAGGCAGGGGTCTGTCCACTAGAGGATGCGAACACCCTTTGAGCTGGTAATCTTCCTCCCAGGAATTTATCCTACAGATATACTTACAGCTGGGCTCCAAGGTGTGAGTTCAAGGACACGCTGTTGTATCCTTGCAACATCCTTGTAAGGTAAGAAGATCACAGATATCCTGAAAGGACAGCATTAGGGGCCTGGTAAAGGAAATAACGGGATGTGCACACAGTGGAGTACTATGCAGCTCTTTAGAGACGGAAACACCTGTCCAGGTAACCACACTGAAGAAGCTGTGCTGTGAACTGAAAAACATTAACGAAGACCTAAGTGGATGGCAAGGTGAACCATGTTCTTGGGTAGAAGGTTCAACATCATCAAAATCTCAGTTCTCTCCAAATTAATCTGTA